AAGGCCCCGGGCTTACACATGAGAACGATCGTTTGCTGTGAAAAACAAAACCTCTAGGAAAAGTGTGAAAATCTAACCTGGCCGCCGTTTTTTGCTCACTGGGCAGACAGCAGCCTGAGCGATAGAGTTGCACTGCGTGACAGAACTCACTCAAAGGGGTGAGCGCAAGACACGCAAGTCATTCACGCAGCTAGATTGAATGGAAAGCACTTCCTGGGCCAGTTTTGGCAGGGAAGGAAAGAACCTTTCCAGGACTCTTCTGGTTTCTCAGTTTGTTGTTTCTCCCTTTTGCCCCCTTTTCCAGTGGGAAAATGGAAAAAAAGGGAAAAGCGGAGGGGAAGAAAGGGAGAGACAATATGTGCACAATGGTGGCGGGGGAGGCTGGAGGGTAAACAAAACCCCCAAAATAAATAAATTTCTGATTACCTTTTCTGGTATCAAATTTCAAATAAGTAAAAACAAACCCACCCCTTTCAAAAAAATTGAAAAAAAAAATTACCTCCAACTTTTTAGAATTTTAGGTTCCACCTGGGTTGGACTTGCTCCAATCCAAAGCAAAATCAGCACTGGCTCTGCTGGCATAGATGCCAAGCACCCATTGTGATCATCTAGTCTGACCTCCTGTATAATAATACAGGCCAGAGAACTTCCACACAATAATGTCTAGAGCAGATCTTTTAGAAAAACATCCAGTCTTGATTTAAAAATCGTCAGTAATGGAGAGTCCACCACGACCTTGGTAAATTGTTCCAATGGGTAATTACTCTGTTAAAATATATGCCTTATTTCCAGTCTGAATTTGTCTGGCTTCAATTTCCAGCCATTGGATTGTGTTAGACCTTTAGCTGCTGGATTGAAGAACCCATTATTAAATATTTGCTCCCCATGTAGGTACTTACAGACTGTGGTCAAGTCACGCCTTAACCTTCTCTTTGTGAAGCTAAATAGATTGAGCTCCTTGAGTCTATCACTATAAGGCAGGTTTTCTAATTGTTTAATCATTCCCCAGACCAAAAAGGGGAAGAGCATCTTCACACACAGACATGCCAACCTACTGAGGTGGGTTGTAAATTACTTTCAAAGGGGGCAGGTGACAAAAGGTCACAGGTAAGCATAAAAAAAAAAAACCTTAAGAGAGAGCTAAATGTTCGGGCAGTAGGGAGGGGACATGGAAAATTACAAGAGGCTCAGAGAAACATCAAGAGGGAAATCAGTGAGGGAATCTGCTCAACATCATATATTTCTGCTATAAAAAATGCAAATAGCATGGGGGAAAACAGGAAGAACTAGACGTATGGGTACATAAGCTAATTATGACATAACTGGTGTCACAAAGACTTGGTGGGATAAATCTCATGATTAGAATATTGGTATAGGGGGGTATAACTTCTTCAAGAAGGACAGGCAAGGAAAAAGGGAGACGGTACTGCATTATATGTCAAGAATATATACATGTGTTCTGAGGTCCAGAAGGAGGTGAGAGGAAGACCAGGTGAAAGTCTCTGGGTAAAGCTAAAAGGAGGGGAAAATTGGGGTGATGTCATGGGAGGGGTCTACTCTAGACCCCCCAATCTGGAAGAGGAGGTGGATGAGGCATTTCTAGAACAAATAACAATATCCAAAACACAAGAACCTGGTAGCAATGGTGGACTTTAACTACCCAGACATCCATTGGAAAAGTAACATGGCAAAACACAATATTTCCAGTAAGTGCTTGGAATGCATGGGGGACAATTTTTTGTCCCAGAAAGTGGAGGAAGTAATGAGGGGGACGGCCATTTTACACCTGACTCTGACCAACAGGGAGGAATTGGTTGCAAATGTGACGGTGATTCTAAGGAAAGGAAGGAGTGAGAGCAGCAGAATAAGAACAATGGACTTCAAAAAAGCCAACTAACAAACTCAGAGAACTGGTAGGTGAGGTCCGATGGGAAGCGAATCTATGGGATAAAGACGTTCAGGAGAGCTGGCAGTTTCTCAAGGAGACAATACTAAAGGCACAACTGCAAATTATCCCAGTACAAAGGAAAGATAGGAAGAACAGCAAGAGGCTAATATGGCTCCATCAGGAGTTCTTTAAGGACCTGAAAATCAAAAAGGAATCCTACAAATACTGGAAACCTGGATGAATTGCAAAGGAGGAAAAGAACAGCAAAAGCATGTAGGGACAAAATCAGAAAGACAAAGATACAAATGAGTTGCACCTGCAAAGGACATAAAAGGTAAGAAGAGGAGGTTCTTTAAATTCATTAGGAGCAAGAGAAAGGCAAAAGGAAAGTGGAGGTCCTCTACTTAGCAGGGAAGGAGAGCTAATAACTAATGACATGAAGACAGCTCAGGTGCCCCGGCCCCTGTTTTAGTTAGGGGTATATAGTACAAGTCATGGACAGGTCACGGGCCGTGAATTGTTGTTTACTGCCCGTGACCCGTCCATGACTTTTACTAAAAATACTCGGGACTAAAACACAGCCTTAACCATGATCCTCAAATCTTTCAGAGTCCCTGTTTCCAGGGATAGAGTCCCCCATCCTGTAAGTAACGGCTCTGAAGACTGTTATCAGGTCTGCCCTCAGTCTTCTTTTCTCCAGACTACACATGCCCAGTTGTTGTAACCTTTCCTCATAGGGCAGGGTTTCTAAATCTTTTATCCTATAGTTTTTGTTCCTGGATGTATATATTTATATTTAGTTGACCTAAAACGCATATTGTTTGCTTGTGCCCACTTTACCGAGTGATCCCAATCATCACTGACCAGTCCTCTTCAATATTTACCACTCCCTTAATTTTTGTGTCATTTGCATAACAACTAAACCCTTCTTCCCATCAGAACGAGGAATATGGCGGCTTTTCTCCCGCCCTGTTACGTGCAGCGATTCATACTTCTCCCTCCAAACACTATCTGCTCTCATACAGGAAGAGGGAACGCTCTTAGGGTTCAAGATAAGCCTCTCCAAGACAGAGATCTTACCAATTAATTGAAAGAGAAACCTGAATTTCCAGTAATCTTCAGGCTTCGTAAACCACAAGAGGTAATAATTTCAGCCTGTGGATGAAACCGCCCCTAGGATCCTTGGCTAGAGCACTTACTACCTACCGTTAAAACATGCAGTGAATCACTATTAGCAAACGTCAATGACCATGAATTGTTCCCAAGGCTGTTATATCACCACACGGGCGGACAATGGAAATATAACAAAGGGGAGGAGAGAATACTCAGGATCAATCATCCTTAGCTGGAACCACTCCGGGCACTGAAAAAACAACCGGCACTCTCCTAAAGCACATTGTGGAAGTTCACACCTGCTTCTGCAATCACCGGCAGCCTCCCGGCTGCTTAACTGGACAAGAAAATTTTCCAGTGACTCTTGGTTGAACTCTCAGGAAGAGCATGTCTCTATATTATCAGCCAGTTACCACCAGAAGGACTTTGAGAAAAACCACAGCGGACATTTTCCACAGCAAGGGGCTCTACAGAGAGGCTTCCCTAAGCAATTCAAGGTGCTTTGGGTGGGACCTGGCAGACTCATGACACCACTGTCATTGTGTCAGCAGAAATTTGGCTTGATCTAATTACAAACCAAGCACACCAGCGGATTCTGGGCTTTTTGTGTTTTCCTCACAGCACGGCAGGTTTTTCGTGTTGAACGAGGTATGCCTGTTTATGTTTGAGGGATGAACGCGCGTGTGACATGAATAACACAGGATGTGTTTTCTGTTCCATTTCAAAACCCTTCGGAGAGTTCTGCTTGTTTATTTGCTTTGCCGCTGAGTTTCTCAGTGGGTTTGTGTTGTTGGGTTTGTGTTTGGCTGGTTTTTGATTGGTGAAAATCACAAAAAGCCCCACCTTCCCTGGACTGGGTGGAACTAAAGTGGCACTGGTGTACTCCGGGCCTTTTCCGAGTCATACATTTAAAAGGTGTATGAAGGACGATAATGAATGTGCAACAATACCGAGCTGTCTCTGGAGTGGTGGCAGGTGACGGGGTTTGGAAAGTAAGCTCATGCTTTACTTGCAATTACTCTCTTGTATTAAGAATTGTGTTCGGTTTGTCCCTCTACTTTGAGATCTCACAGTGAAAACCAGCGTAACAAACAAACAGAAAATATCACACAAAATCCAGGTACACCTCTACCCCGATACAGCGTGACCCGATATAACACGAATTCGGATATAACGCGGTAAAGCAGCGCTCCGGGGGTCGGGGGGAGCAGCTGCGTGCTCCGGTGGATCAAAGCAAGTTCAATATAACGCGGTTTCACCTATAATGCGGTAAGATTTTTTGGCTCCCGAGGACAGCATTATATCGGAGTAGGAGGTGTATATTCTTCAGCAAATTCTGCTTAGTGTCTAGATGAACACCGGGCAGCCTGGGAAGGGCGGTTTGTGAAAATGAAAAAGTAGACAGTGCTCGGTCTGCAACTGAAAATAGGAAACAGGCCCGGGATAATTTCATTGATGGGGCTCAAGCAGACGGAAGCCAGGAATGAAGAAATAATAACAACTTTGCACTGATACATTGAGGGTTCATTTGATCTGAGATAGACAGTGCCGCCCTCACCTGCCACCCCAGCTAGTACAAAAACGAACAGCAATCAATTAGCTCCCCCTGGAGGGAGTTGTGCTTCCAATCAAAAGGCCCCCTCCCCCTTCTGCAGGCTCCAAAGAGATTATTTAGGGGACACTGTCAGTGCTTCCTAAGGTTGAGCCCCGGCACCTCTAGACTTGACAGTTAATAGACCCGGCACCTCTGGGTTTGCCACATCAGTCACAAAAGTAAATGGCTTGAGCCCTGGCACGTTTTTCATTACAAATTAAGCACCGGTCAGTGTCATACTCCTCTGGGCTCTCCCCCGCAGCCTCCTCTCCTGGGGATGTGAGAGACAGCCCCGCCCCTGTGCCCAGATCCAGGTGTGTTTATCCAGACTGGTCTGCAATGGCGGGAGCAGCCCATGCACCCACACGCCAGCCGCACAGAGCGCGAGACACAAGAGTCACTTACTAGGTGCCGTGAGAGCCGGCCCGGCAGAGGCATCGGCCCGTCTCAAAGTGGCACTCCCCGTTGAAGCAGTCGCTGCACACAAAGGCGCAATTCTCGCCGTATGTCCCGTTGCGACACTTGGTTTCACACCTAGGAAAGGGCCAAGAGGAGAAGGTCACAGGGCGGGCACCGGAGGAGAGCACGCCCTGGGAGCTGGCGTAGCCACGCTGGTGCAGCTGCTGGACTCTCCAGACAAACACATCTGAGTGCTGCAAAGCCACTGCCCTTGTGTGGTCCCTCCCTGTCCCGAGTACAGGGGCTGTGGGGACGGAGTCACCAGGAGCCTTTAGCCGGTAGAAGGACTGAGCTTAGCTGTGGGGAGCTGCCAGGCCATTTTCCACCTCAGCCAATTGACCCTTGGCTCCGTGCAGGGAGTGCTGGGCTCGGGGTCACGTATTGCTCACAGTTTGTGTGGTATGTAGGCAGCAAAAGGAAAGGTTCTGCTGCCTCTCTCCACACGCTGGGCTCTCCTGGGAAAGCAGCAGCGTACGTCAACCCCAGCTCACAGTGCTGCCTGTGCGAGGCGCTAGCCGGGATTCAAAGCACGAGGCCACCGCAAACGCTCTGAGAGCTCCAGATTGCGAATGCAGGTGCCATGATCGCTGGTGGGACCTGTGGCCATTGGGGGAGGCAGCTTTAGTGCTGGCCTGGCACTCTTGCTACGGCATTACAGCCTATCTGGTAGGTGAAGCTGTGATTGCAGCAGAGAGGCACCTCCCGAGACCACATAGCACGGACAGGAGTCGGCAGAGCCTTCGACACCGTCCTGGGACACTCTCCTTCTCTTCACCTCACTAACCATGCTCTGCCTGAGATACCTTTCCCCACCATTCCCTGCCCATGCTGTGCTCTGAGGCCGGCCCGCAGGGACGTCACCCCAGCCACTGCCCACACTATGCCCCGAGACCAGCGCCCCAGGATGTCCCCACGGGTCACTGCCCATGCTTTGCTCTGCGACTGGCTTCTAGTTGTCAGCTATGTTGTCAGTCTGTGACTGGCCAGAGCTTCCAGCGGGGCGGCTCCGTGGCAGGACTGGGGCATGTTGACCGAGCGCTACGCAAAGCGCCAGTATGTTTGATGCCCCAGGAGGAGGGGAGAGCCAATCCCGGAAGAGGGCTTTAAATGGCGTTCAGAGGAAGGCAGCATCGTCTAGTGGCTAAGGCAAAGGTTAGGAGTCAGGGGGGCCACGTGTCTAATGCCGGTAGTGCCACAAACATCGCTTTGGCCAAGGGAAGAACACACGAGCGTGCAGCCTGGTTCCGCACAAAGCATCCTCCACTCACCTGTCTCCAATCCAGCCGGGATTGCAGTGCGAGCATTTGCCATTGATGTGGTTGCAGGTGTGGCCGTCTTTGCACAGCGGGCAGATTTTCTCGCAGCCGTCCCCGTAGAAGCCCGAGGAGCAGGCCTGATCGCACTTGGTGCCATTCCAGCCAGCTTCACAGGCCAGGCAGCGGCCGTCCGCGATGGTGCAGGGCTGCAGCCCTTTGCACTGCCCACACCTACAGACGCCAACAGGGAGCACAACCCAGAACGTGAGCAATCATTTGAACACCCCCGTGTGCCTGGGGTTCACCCCTCCCTCCCGCCCCAGCATGGGCAGGACTCGGCTGTTGGAGCAAGCGGTGACTGCACAAGGCAGGTGAAACAGGGACTGTCCTCAACCGGGCGGGCAGGGCCCAGTGCAGCATGGGAGCCTGAACCTGCCCAAGGCCCTGCACACTTACCGCCTCCTGCAGCCTTGTCCGTAGAAGCCCGCTGGGCAGGGCTCCCGACAGTACTTGCCCCGATATCCCGGCTCACAGGCACAGGTCCCATCCACCTGGTTACATTTCCCCTTGTAGCACTGACAGTAACGGTCGCATCTCGGGCCAAACATTCGCTCCCGGCACTGGCAGCGCCCGGTGAACTGCTCGCACGGCGAGTTGTTGCAGACGCACTGGTTGTTGCACCCCCGACCCCACCAGCCGGGCTGGCAGAGGCAGGTCCCCGTCTGCTGGTCGCACTGGGAGTTGAGACTGCAGTAGCAAGAGCTGGAGCACTGGGGACCCCACCAGTTGGGCTCACAGGTGCACTTGCCCGTCTTCTGGTCACATTTGCCGTGCTTGCAGAGACAGGCGTTCTCACACTTGGGCCCCCAGCGATTGGGGTTGCACGTGCACTGGCCCGTGACGTCCTCGCACTGGCCATTGGGGTGGCAGCTGCACATTTCCTTGCAGTCTGGGCCCCAGAACTGGCGGGGACATTCTGCAAAACAAGCAACACACCAGGACTTACTGAGCAGCCACCGAGCCCAAGAGGAGGGGGCAGGAGTCCCTGGGTCGGTCACCAGGCCCCTCCTGCCATCATCCTGTCAGCTTACGTACCAGCTGCAGCTCCTTAGAGGACTGCACCTCCAAACCCAAGTTTAAAGGAGCCCCACCCAGCACACTCATCTGCTGACTGTAGGTCTGTATAGCCCTGCTTCGGTGCCAAGAGCAGTGCAGGGCATCATTCGCAGGCTCGTCTCCCCAGCACATCGCGCACGGGCTCTGTGTCTGCACATTGCTCTGCCCCGGAAGGGGAAGCCACCCAGCAGGTCCCGCAGGAGTCTATAGCGCCCGCTGGCTGTGCTGCTGCCACTGAACATGCAATTCCAGGGCCAGGGAGACAAGAACGCAGTAGCCGTGCCAGCATCTCTAGCTGTCTCCGTTTGGAAACAAGGTCAGCTTCCAACCAAAGAGACAGCCGAGCAATTTCCAGCAGAACCCCCTAAAAGCACCCTGTAACACGCAGGCCTGGGCAGGTCCCAGGGAAAGGGGCTGGGAGCCAGCCCTGATGCAGCTTCCAGAGGCAACAATTCCAAGAGCCGTCTGGCTGAGCTCAGGACAGGCAAAGCCTGGCCTCTCCCGCCCCTCCCCTCCCAGCTTTCCCACTGCAAAGTGCCTCTTCTCCTTGGTAGAAATTTGTTACTATTTAGGTGAACATTTGTTCTGTTGCACGACTTCTGTCCTTATCCTTAGCTGCTTCATCCTGCACACGTAGCTTCGTAACAAAAGCAACCTCTGGTCAATCAAACAAACACACCTTCCCTTATGACTGACACGGAGTCTGATCCCCAGCTGCTCAGGGGTGGGGAGGAGGCCTCCTGCCTAGACAAGGAGGCAGCAGAATCCGGGTAGGCTCAGGGATAGAGGTCTGGTGCGTTCACCATTCCTTAGCTACAGGAGCCGGCCAGTGCTTAATTTGTAAGGAAAGAGGTGCCGAGACTCAAGCAATTTTTTTATTTTCATAACTGATGTGGCAAGCCCAGTGGTGCCAGGGCTCTGTATTGCCAGGCCCTGAGGTGCCGGGGCTCTGAACCGCCAGGCCCAGCGGTGCCGGGCTCTGAACTGCCAAGCCTGGAGGTGCCGGGGCTCTGAACTGCCAGGCCCGGCTCTGAACTGCCAGGCCCAGTGGCGCCGGGGCTCTGAACTGCCAGGCCCAGCTGTGCTGGGCTCTGAACTGCCAAGCCCTGGCACAGATTAAGCACTGGAGCCGTCACCAGGAGCGAGTCAGCAGAGGCTGGTTATGAGACACGTGGACGTTTCCGCTGGTTCAGGGTTCTGATTCACACGTAACTCCTCCTCTCCCGCAGGAAGCAATAAATGAACCCTGCAGTGACTGGCCCCTCCAGGCTCTTTAGAAATGCTGGGCTCTGGAACCCCCCCCCCCACCTTGCGAGGTTCCAGCCCAAGCCTGAATGTCTACACAGCCATTTTACAGCCCCACAGCCTGACCCTCACAAGCCCAAGTCAACTGACCCGGGCCAGCCCCAGCTGTTTAATTACAGGATCCTTAATGGGAGCAGACTTTAGCCCATGCAGTCCGAACACGGTTAACAATGCTACTGATGATGCCTAAGCCAGAACAGACTCCAGCTGCCTCTTCTCTGGCCTGGCCTGGGCTGGGCTGGCTCCACAGGGATAACCGGAGTAAGGAGGAATCAAAGCCTGTTTACGTCAGTGGCATGAGCAGACTGACTGCAAATCCAGCAGAAGCTGATCTGCGGAGTAAGACGGGACCATTAGTCACTTTCCTGGCCACACTAAATGAACAAAAATGTTTCGGCCCCAACCATTCCCCTAGAATTGCCGGGCAGCTCGCTGCAGGCTGTGAGACTTTGCACTTTGCTAAGCCCTGGCAGCAGGTAAATGAAATGAGGATCCCAGGAGGCTGTGGGGGGCCAACAGTGTCAGCTAATGCCTCCTTCTCGTGCTCTATTATCCGGGGTACGGACAAGGAAAGAAGGAAGCTTGTCGTTATTCGGCAGCCAGCAGAACGTCTCAGTTTGCTTTCCCAGAAATCCCCCTTGTGGCTTGAAACTTTCCATTCCTGGTGCCAGCCTGAAGGAGACGGGGGGCAGGGAATTTGGGGGAAAGCCTGCACCACTTCTGCCTGCGAGGAATACGTTGCTGCTGCTCCGTTGGTCGCTTAGAGAGCGCTGTCAGTTTCAAAGAGAGTTTGGGTGATTTGCATTCTGGACCCAGTGCTTCGCTGGGCGGCTGGAGGAGGTGAGCCTGCTGTGCGAAGTGTCAGATTGGTTTGGGGAAAAATACAGTTCTGAAGCTTTGCAAAACACTGTGGTGAGCCTGCACCTTGGGAAGCGGCCCTGCTGGAGCGGGAACAAGGATTTCGAAAGGGGAAAGCTTTGTCCAACTGCTACTTCTAGCCCTGCCACCCCTTACGCCCACAGCTCCTGGGATGGGTTTGTAGGGGTGATCACTCTTGGGCACTCAGACCCAGACTGACTCCCTGGAGGCTCCAGCCTCCTGCTTGTAACTCAGTGAAGCATGTGTAAGTAAGCAGCTGGAGCAGCATGCTGTCACCCACACACCAGCGTGGCCCTTGTAGGACCCAGCGTGGCCTCCCAGAGTGCACAGAGGCCGCCCTGCTCCATGCTTCTCTTTAGAAGATGCAAGCCAGCTAGAACATGTCAGCTTCCAGCCAAGGAGCACAGACCCCCTAATTTGCAGCAGAGACCCCCCTAAAAGCAGCCTGTAATGCCCAAGCCTGGGCAAGTCCCAAGCAAAGGGGTCAGCGAGCATCTTTCCCAAGTGCAATTTCTAAAGGAAAAAGCACAACATGCAAAAGGGCCAATACCACATCACACACTTAGAGGGCGTGTGCAGCAGGGTGAGTTAACCCCGCGCTCCCTGGCTGCTTTTATCATCAATACTGCAGGAGCAGAGCTTTGGCACTCACTGACTTTACTGCGTATGCACTAACCCGAGCTCGGCGGGGTTGTGTCACTCAGCTACGGGACAGCGCCAGGACCGAGGTAAGAGCTGCTGAGGCCAGCTCCAACAGACGCCCGATACTCACTGGTGTCACAGTTGGCCCCGAAGTATCCATGGCGGCAGCGGCACTCGCTGGGTCTCACGCACACCTCGTTCTCCTTGCAGGTGAAATTCCCCTCGCACACGGCTGCCAAGAGAAAGGAGGAGATGTGGTACAGTGACGGGGCAGGGAAAGGCAAAGCCGGTGCTCGGCACTCTCCGCTAGAAGGGGAGGGAGGAAGTCCTCCAGCAGTCTGGGAGAGTCGGCACTAGGCAGCACCACCGCTCTCCTCCCCAGCTCCCCTTAGGAAGCCAGTGGCACCAGGGCAAGGCCCCGGGTGGAGGTGGGATCCTGGATGGAGCCAGGAGGCAGCGGCAGAACAGCAACTGGTGCCTCAGTGCTCCGCGGACTGCTGCCTTCTGGCCACCTGATAAGGTGCTTTGGGTGGAAGATCAAGGACACCAGGGTGGGAGAAGGCAAGAGTCCAGTCTGGGGTGATCAGATGTCCCAATTTTATAGGGACAGTCCCAATATTTGGGGCTTTTTCTTATATAGGTATCTATGACGCCCCCACCCCGTCCCGATTGTTCACACTTGCCCTCTGGTCACCCTCGGTGTGGTGCTGGTCTAAGAGAAGGGGGCTGATCCCCCTTAGCCTCTTCTTGCCCTGGAGTCGGGCAACCACAGTCTCACAGGACTCCGGGTGCCACACTAAACCCCGCAGTGAGGGCTCGGCTGGCAAAAGCGGGTGCCATGACACTCTGGGATCTAGCAGGAGCTCTGCCTGGGGAGGGGAGCGGGAGAGGCCTAGCTGACAGGGAGGCCCTGCCCTGGCTCTGGACGAGCGACAGGCCAAGGATACTGCAAGAGGGAAGGATGGAAGTCACCTGCAAAACTCTGGATGGAACATGGCAGCTACAGGTAGAAAGGGCCAATCCTGTTACAAACCTAAATGAACACAGTCGTCAAAAGCAGCATCAGCCGGTCATCTTCAGGGGATGAGGGGATGCCAGCCTCCAGGCCTTGGGAATGCCAGGCAGCCTCTGGCAGACACAGCTAAGGCAGTGCCTGGCAGCCCGGAGCCAGATGACTCAGCCAGGTTCTCACCCCGCCCCCCGCCCCCCCCCCGGAGCATCGCAGGGTGAGGAGGGGAAGGGTGCCTGCCTCCTTTGTCACAGGCGCTGACCTCCAGGAGGCATCACTTGCCCTGGCAACAGCACACCACACGGATTCGGCTGGGGCACGGCACAGGGGGCAGGGCATGGGTCAGCCACCTCTCCTCAGCCACCTGGGTCCAGCAAAGCCAGCCAGGGTCAGCAAAAGGCTCTCCGTGTCCTCTGCTGGAGACCGCTCCCTGCCTGCGCTGGCTCTGACCCTTCTGCTCTGGGAGGAAGCTCCTCCTCCGTCCTGGCAGCCAGCAGCAGTGTGTTGGCTGCCCCACCACAAGGAGGCAGTGGCACTGCCCGGGGCTGAGGAGAGCTCCGGCTGGGGGCAGCACAGGTATCCTGTCCAGTGCTCGATGCTGTGCCTGGCTCCTGTTCTCCCAAGGTGGCCTGACTGGAGCCCCACCTGCCCCTGACCAGGGGTAGAACCTCAGTGGTCCGCACTCAGAAAGAGGCAGCATGACTCCATGGTGCTCTCTAGTCCGGGTGTGCCTTCGCTAGGCACCTGCGCCCTTCCTCCCGCATGGGGACCGGGCTGCATCGATCCGTGCGGTGGTCACCTCCAGGCTGCATTACTGCTGCACGCTGCGCATTGGGCTGAGCGTGGGCGAAATGCAAGAGCTGCAGCCTGAACACAAGGTAGCAGTCCCTCAATGGGCCAGGCTGCCGTCAGCACATCTCTCTTGGGCTCAGTCCCTTCCACTGGTTCTGTCCACAGCCTGTAAAGCCAGCAAAAGGCCAGGTTCCAGCTACCTCAGCAACCACATCTGCACCCATGACCAACAGCTATGCACAACGCAGCTCAGCTGAAGCCCACGAGAGCTGTAGGTAAAGTGTTGTCAGTCCCCAGCAGAGCCTCCTCACCCAGGAAAGGGAGAAGAGCAGGGGACTCCATACAGTCCATCTTACCTGGGAAGCTCCCAGATGCTATGGTGATGGATATTGAAAGCCCTCAAAGAGACAGCTAGATTAGATAAACCAGACTAGTGGTGAGAACAGGCCTAGGGCTGAGGAAACCTGGCTCGCCTTCCTGATTGACTCCGACGGCTGTGAGACCTTGAAAGAGGCTTCCAGATGGAGACACTAAGAGGTTAATGAATCCCCCACCTCATGGAAGCATTTTGAGAGTGTCAGATAAAAGTCACTAAACGAAGTATCATAATTAGCCTTAAATGCAAACCTTGAGGTATTGGTTTGTTATATTGTTACCTTCGTATATGCAGGAGATGCAAAGGGGCTCTCTTAATTTTCCTGCAGGAACCGTAACCTCTGAATTCCCTGGAGTCGTGTGATGCATGCTCAGCCTGAACGTTGCATTCGAGCGAGGCTGTGCACAGAACACACATAGGCAGGAAGCCTTTCCTCCAGCACTAACACGCAGCCGCTGAGCAGCCCAGAGCAATACCACACAACAGGAAGTCAGGGATACTGGGGCCAGCTGGAACTGCGGGAAGTTTTACAGGAATCCAAAAATAGCCTCCCAAAGTTTCACAGCCGCGCTCTGGGAATGCAGGTTCCAAGAACTCTCAATCCCCACACACTCACTCATGCAGAACTGAACTTGACAGAGACGCTGAAAGCCGAGCGTCAGCCCCCAGGGGAGCTTTGAACCACTGACAATAGCCGATTGATTGTAACAGAACCTTCCGATGACCCTACCCTGGAGCAGCCCTGGCCAGAGCTCTCCTTCAGAAATGAAGAGCATGCCGTGGAATACCCACTATGATCCTGCCATATCTAGGACGTGCTTTAGGTTACGGCCTTGCCTTCCACAGGGGTGTCCACAACAGAGTGTCCACAACAGAGCCCCAAATTCCCATCACTTGCTTCTTCCACTCACTGCAGACACGCTCAGGCCGAACGTCAGGCACTGGAGCTGTAGCAACGTTCACTGAAGCTCTTCATGTTCCTCACGTGCGGCCTCCCTTTTCTTTCCAGCCCCCTGTCTTGGTACCCCCTCCTTCACTTCTCTTCCTCTTCCCCCCCTCAGAGATGAGGCCTCTCTGGTAGCTACATCGTCTCTCCACGGGGGCTGGGCAGTACACTCTGAAACCCATCAATCTACTCCCAGGACTATCCAAACACTGGCCGATACAGAGTCGTGGGAGGCATCTGAGGGGCAGAAAGGGCTGCCCCCAAAGAACCCCTCAACCCTGGCACAGAGCGTAAGTGGCCAGCCCAGAAGCTGAGTTTCATTCTCCTGCCAAGGCCCAAATGAGGAACCCAGTGTGTGACAAGGACCCAAAATGAGGAACACTGCAAAATGATTCATGCAGGACAAACTGCTGTGGGCTTCTTCCCCTGAGTGTTCTTGGCTCGGCTTTACGGTGGATGTAAACGGCTGTCAGCAGTAACAGCGAGGAGACCCCAAATCTGGGTGGATGGGCAGGGACTAGTGCTCGGGACCACCTCTCGCAGGGGAAGCCAGACACTGCTTGTGGAACTGCCATCTGCACTTTGCTGTCTCCCGGAGGCAGCTGGCACCATGCTGGGAAGGGACGTCAGCTGTGACTAGCTGTCTGAGGGGAGCCCAGCTCCAATCCATCGGCTGCAATGCCACTTTCCCAAGTGAACAGGAGTTTTGGGATATGCCCACTGCCCTGGGTGCGCTCGGTGTCCTGCAGACATCCACTGTTTCGCTGCTGGTCCCTGCCTCGCCCCCAAGGCTAGCTCTGATCAAGGAAGGAAAGGTGGGACCCCCTGGACACAGAGCTCTGAGCAAGGCAGGCTCTGGGGGAACCGCACTCAGATACAGGGGGCTGGGAACGCCCTTCAGGGATGGGAGGACAGGTGGCTCTGAGGAAGAAGCAGTGTCTAAAGAAGGGATGCTGGTGCTTACCTATCAAACACTCGTCTCCTTGTTGCCTCCATCCTGGGCAGCACACAGACCCAGAGAAGCTGCACAAAGGAAAACACAAAGGTCCGGTTACAATTCTCACATGCCTCGGTCCCTCTGCCAAAGGCTTCCCCTTCCTCCGGAGAGAGCTCGCTCTCCTGCGTGAGGGGCCACAGCTCTGAGAGAGCCACCCTACCCCAAGGGCTTGAAGTGAGCCAGGAAGGCCCAGGCCTCCACTTTAAACCCCAGCAGGCAGGCCAGTTTGAGAGGAAGGCAAATATCTGCAGCCAGCGGCTGCAAGTCCTGGCCGACACAGGGACTGGGGCACTCACTCATGGGCTGCTCCGCTCCCCCCACCCCTTGGTGAGTACTTTGGGGCAGATCTCCTTCTCCTCGAGGGTTGTCCAATGCAGGGTGCTGACGGCTACAATGCAAACCAAACAAAAGAATGCAGCCGCAGGGAGTCTCAGAGCCTGAGTCAGCTGACGCGGGCTCCCCTTATGGAGCTAAAAAGAGCAGTGTGGACACATTCCCGCTTGAGCTGGGGCCCAGGCTCCGAGACTCTCCCCACGTTTCAGACCCCAGGCTCCAGCCCAAGCAGGAATGGCCGCACTGCTAATTTCAGCCCCACTGCACAAGCCCCGCGAACCCGCATCATAGAACCCTAGGGTTAGAAGGGACCGCAAGGGTCATCTAGTCTGACCTCCTACCAAGATGCAGGATTTGTTGGGTCTAAACCATCCAAGACAGGTGGCTCCAGCCTCCTTTCAAAACCTCCAGCAAAGGAGCTTCCACGCCCTCCCTCGCATCAGTTGACCTGGGCTCTGTGACTTGCTCCACAGAGCTTTTCTTTGCAGTGTAGATGTATTGTATGAGGCTGGTCAGAGGATAAGCAAGGGATGAGGCTTTCAATAGGCTACCACCGCTCACACCCATATCTCGGCCTCATCTGCCCCAGCTGGTGCAGTGGAACAAACCACCATGTGTCTGCATGAGACGGGGCCTGCCGGTGTGTGAGCTGGCAAAGGACCAATCCAGATGCCTGAAGTGATGCTAGGTTGGGGGAAGAAGCGGGAGGAGCTGGAGAGGATACCAGCAACAGAGGGGCCACAGTCTTCACAGGAATTCTTTGTTATCCACATTTCCCATTTGAAAATGGAGTTACCACAACGGTTTCATTTCTTCAGAAATCTCCATTTTGAAAAATATTCAATGGAAACTTCAGAAGAAACGCCACCCGATGCCTGGCCCAATGAAACGGGGGGGGAGGGGTGTCTTTCCATTTTTCTGCATGGCCTGTTTTGATTGGCTAACTCAGTCACATGCTTTCTAAACAAAAACATCTCGTTTTCAGCATCCCCCTTTTGAAAACGAAATACAGTTTTTCTACAGAAAGTCGCACAATAATGAAAAACTGGAGCTTTGTGGAACACCCGGAGCCCAAATGTCTTCACCTCACCCAGATCCATAGAATCCTTCTACTTCTTGACCAGCTCCAGTCAGCCAGCAGGGAGGGGAGAGGGTCTGTCACACAGGTCTGAAGTTAGAGCCGCGGCAGAGACCAGCTGCAGTGGAGAGGGCACTCTGGGTATGTCTACACTACAGTAACACACCTGCAGCTGACTTGGGCTCCCGGGGCCTGGGCTGTGGAGCTATACATTTGCAGTATAGAGGTTGGGGCTCGGGCTGGAGCCCAGGCTCGGAGACCCTCCCCACCTTGCAGGGTCTCAGAGTCTGGGATCCTGCCTGAGTCTGAATGGGTTCACTGCACTTTGATAGCCCCACCGGCCAAACCCTGCAAGCCCAGGTCAGCTGACCTGTGCCAGCCGGGGATGTTTTACTGCAATGTAGACATACCCTCTGAGTCCATACCTAGTGAGAGGGGTCAGTCATTTTCTGTTAGCCCATCAGACAGTGACCCAGGCCTTCGTTACCAAGATGAGACTGGACTAAACCCAACTCCTGCTGTGGCCCAAACGTCACTTGCAGCTTCCACTTGCTGTTACAGAAACTGCCCCAGGAACGTTGAACTCTCACTGCTTCAAGCCTATGTACAAGGGAGCGGCAAGCAGCTACAAGGGAGCAGCTGAGCCAGCCAGCCAGCCATTCTGCCTGGCCCCTTGTCTCCCAGAACTTCCCTACTCCAGTCTGCTGTTTCCTCCCTATCCAAACTTGGCATTTAGAAGCTGAACAAGCAGCTTCTGCATTGGTCCTAGCTTAGCTTCCTGCAGTCAGGCCATTTCAAAGCAGCCCAGCTGCTCTTCTAAGCGCTAGACTGGAGTAGCCGGAGGTTCCCCTTCTGAGACTCACAGGGGAGTTGCTCATCTGTTGCTCTCTCAGGCAAAGTTCTGTTCTGCAGACCATGTGCGAGACATCTCCTGTCACACACACTTGGCAGCCTTGTCCCAGCTCTCATACACTGTGCGTGTTTGTGTGTGAAAGAGAGACAGTTGGAAATTGTCAGTGACGGAGAATCCACCATGACCCTTGGTGAATATTTCCAGTGGCTGATTACTCTCACTGTTAAAAATGTACACTTTCTTTCCAGTCTGAATTTGTTTAGCTTTAGCTTCCTGATATTGGCTCGTGTTATACCTTGCTCTGGTAGGTTGAAGAACCCATCATTAAATATTTGTTCCCCGTGTAGGTACTTATAGATGGCGATCAAGTCACCCCTTAACCTTCTCTTTGTTAAGCTGAACAGATTGAGCTCCTTGAATCTGTCACTATAAGGCAGGTTTTCTAATCCTTTAATCATTCTTGTGACTCTTCTCTAAACCCTCTCCAATATTTCAACCTCCTTAAACTGTGGACACCAGAACTGAACACGGGATTCCAGCAGTGGTTGCATCAGTGGCAAATACAGTGGCAAAATAAGCTCTTCACTCATACTGGAGATTTCCTTGTTTATGCAGCCCAGGATCACATTAGCCCTTTTGGTCACAGCGTCACACTCGGAGCTTGTGTTCAGCTGATTATCTGCCAGGAGCCCCAAATCTTTTTCAGAGTCCCTGCTTCCCAGGATAGAGTCCTCTAGCCTGTAAGTACAGCCGACATTCTTAGTTCTTAGATGTATACAGTTACATGTAGGCATATTAAAATGCATATTGTTTGCTTGCACCTAGCTTAGGAAGTGACCCAGACCGCTCTGTATCAGTGACCTGTCCTCTCCATTTTTTACCCCAATTTTTGTGTCATTTGCAAACTTCATCAGTAATTATGTTGTCTTCTTCTAGGTCATTAATAAAAAATGTTAAATAGCGTAGGGCCAAGAACCGATCGCTGCGGGACCCCACTAGAAACAGACCCATCCGATGATGATTCCCCATTTACAATTACATTTTGAGACCTGTCAATTAGCCTGATTTTAATCAATTTAATGTGTGCTGTGCTCATTTTATATCTTTCTAGTGTTTTTAATCAAAATGTCATGTGGTACCAAGTCAAATGTCTTACAGAAGTCTAAGTATATTAAGTCAACGCTATTACCTTTATCAACCAAACTTGTAATCTCATTAAAAAGAGATACCAAGATAGTGACAAGATATATTTTCTATAAACCCATGTTGATTGGCATTAATTATATTATCCTCCTTGAAATCTTTATTATTTGAGTCCTGCAACAGCCCCTCCATTATCTTATCAACACCAGACCAACAGGCCTATAATACTTGGGTCATCCTGTGACCTTTTTAAACAATGGCACAACTGAACTTTCTTCCAGTCTTCTGGAACTTCTCTGGTGCTTCCAGACTTAGTGAAAATCAACATTAACAGTTGAGCAAGCTCCTCAGCCAGCTGTTTTAAAACTTTTGGATGCAAGTTAACTGGACCTACTGATCTGAAAAGTTTAATTTTAGTAGTTGCTGTTTAACATACTCCTGAGACATTTGTGGAACAGAGGGTTATCATATGGCAGGATTACATCATCTGTTTTTTCCCCAAATACAGAACAGAAATATTTAATGGACACTTCTGCTTTTTATTGATAATTATGCCATTTCCATCTAGTAATGGACCAATATCATTTCAGGATTCTTTTTGTTCCTAATATACTTTAAAAATTCCTTCTTATTGTCCTTAACTCTGTTGGCCATAATTTCTCTCTGTGTCCATTTGCCTCCCTTATCAATTTTCTACTATTATAGCTTCTGATCTAAAGTCACAAAAAACTTCTGATCTATATTCATTATTCTCAACTTCTCCATTCTTCCATTTGTTTACACACACACACACACACACACACACACACACACACACACACACACACACACACACACACACCCCTACCTGTCTTCACTTCCCCTCCTAGCCAGGCCATTTTTTAACCAATATGGCCTTCTTCCTCGATTGTAGCTCTTGGGCATCTAGTAAAGTGATCTTAAACAATTCCCAAATATCATTCACATTTTTCTGATTAAATTCTTCCTCTCAGCTGATCTGGCTTATAATTGTTTTCAGCTTTGTGAAATTGGCCCTTTTAAAGCACCAAGTATATGCATCATTGATCTGGACTTTATTCTGTTTGCACATTAAAAATGTGCTCAAGTCATTATCACTTATATCTAAGCTACCATTAATTTTTAGTTGTGATCAGTTCCTCTTTATCCATCAAGACAAGGTCTAATATAGAGTTCCCCCATGTTGGATGCAACACTTTTTTCATGCACAGCTGCGCGCAGCTGAGGAGAAGGTCAGACCTTAAGTGTCAGAGAGACGCTCCCAAATACAGAACAGAAATATATTGCTGTGATGATTTAGAGCCAACTGGGAAGTGTCTGTCTCCTCTCTTCCCCCTAGTTTGGAGGTGGGAAGAAGCACAGTCTCTAATGGCACCAGGAGCCTCTCTAGAGCTGGCCTGAAATTTTCTCTCACAGGAAATACCTTTAAATGCATTTTTTCTAAGTTCTCCATGAATAATTTTTCATTTTTTCAACAGAAACACAAATCAAAATATTTTCAGTTTCCAAAACCCCCAAATTTTACCAGAAACTGAACATTTTTACCAACACAAACAAACAAAATCTGTTTCCGTTTTTTTCAGTTAAAAACATTTTGAGAG